GAGTGTTTTGTTCATTTGTGTCACTTAAGCGACAGAGTGCCAAAAAAGCAAAATGGAAATCATGCATGGTAAGTGTTGATAAGATTGTAATACATGTAACCAGTATTACATGTAACCTATGTGTGTGCTTTTGAGAAATTAGTAACTTTATCAAACTATTCCTTTCCTTCCTTATTGAGGTGGCTAGGTCCATTATGTCACTGTTTTTTTTGTCTCCCTTTCTTACTTCCCAAGCCGATGAACTCTTTTTCTGTTTGTACTGTATATGTATATGTGGTTACTAGTAGTAATTGTAGTTTCATTTTTATCTGCGGTACAGTGTATTATAATAATAGTGCTATTGATATTATTAGTAGTATTAATGATGATCTATTTTACAATGATAATTATTGTACATGTAGAATATTGTTTCTTAATCATTTACGGTTTATCAAACAATATGTACATACGATGGCTTTGGAAGCCTTTTCTTTTGGATGTACTATGAAAATATCCATCATAAAATAAGACAAAATGCATGTTCAACTATTTACTTTAATTATCAGCCGTATGTAGCTCGCTACACATAATTATGCACGTATGATATCTAGAAAATGAAATAGTATTAATAGTATTTAGTGACAGTTTTAGCATTAGTTTTGGAAAAGTCATTATCCACTGAAACTGTGACTGTACACAGTTTACTGAAACTAAGCAAATATTCTTTGTTTACCATACATTTATTATTTTAGTAAGCTTCATGTAGGTCAAAATTGTTTTAGGTTTAGTTAATTTTTACTAAGAACAAGCACTGAAATAGGAAAAGCATTAAGAAAGTTCTTACTTATTGTTTTGCTGATATCCATATCAACTTTCCTCAGTTTTATAGTTCTTGCCTTTCCTATCAGTTCCTTTTATAATTTTTGGCTATGCAAGCAAAGGCCTGTTACTAACCAACATGCAACACTTCATTTTAACAGCTCTAAGCTTGCCTAGGCTGTCAAGTTCTTGCATAATATCTTTGTGTGCATGTACTTAACTGTACATGGCAATGATGGCATTTTGAGGATGCTTTTGCCTATTCAGACCCATTTTACAAATTCACTACTAATTTACCTT